TATGATTTTAGTTTGGGAGTTCCCTATTTGGAACATTAATAGGTGTTGCCACTTCGGTTTAGGGTAGATCTCAAAACAACAGCAATTAAGAGGTGGTTACACGCTCATCAGAAGCCTTACAGATGGATGTAGTTTATCGCCATTGCTAAGACACCATGAGTCGTTAGAAAGTGTTCAGCTCAAAAAATATCTAAAGTCAACGAGTTGGAAATTAAAAAAGAGAAACCCGAACAGACGTCAAATAATAATAATAATAATAAACAAACAAACAAATGAAATACACTGGCAAGATAAGAAGAATTGAAAATGGTTTGAAGAATTCCACAGAGAGAGGAATATTTGAAGAATTTGGTATTTTGAAAGTAAACAGAGAAATAAATAGGCAGAATATTAAAGACTTTAGTTGAAGAAAAGAAGGCAACCAATCTATCACCTTTTATGCAATCATGCAAAAGAGAAATATATAAGTTGAATGAAGAAGTACGCGAAAACTGATTCCTACTTCTTTTTTTAGTAATTAATTGAAGCAACAGAAATATGATTCCTACTGAAAAATGCTGACAGTACCACAGACCGAACACGTATTTGATTTTTCTGATGAATCATAATTGATAAATTAATGATTTCATACGAAACAGAGAAAAAAACACTGAACTGCTATTTAATATCAGTCCTCCTACATAGCAGTGGATGTTAGACAATCTCCTCACAGATAAAGAAGAGACTTGAAACAACAGAATCAAAGAAAAGAGGACTGAAAAGTTTCGTAATATCAATCCTCCTCTATGGCAGGGAGTGTTGGACAATCTCCTCACAGATGAAGAAGACTTGAAACAATAAAAACAAAGAAATGAGTACTGAAATGTTACGTAATATCAGTCCTCTGATATGGCAGTGAAAGCTGGACAATCTCCTTACATATGGAGAAGAGACTGGAAGCAACAGAAACAAAGAAAAGAATGCTGAACTGTTATGTAATATCAGTCGACTTATATGGAAGTGAATGCTGAACAATCTCATCAGAAGACTTGAAGCAACAATCTCATCAAGAAGACTTGAAGCAACAATCTCATCAAGAAGACTTGAAGCAACAATAATGTCGTTCTACAGAATGATGCATAGAATGTCGGACATGTGAACTCGACGAAATTTTAGAGAAAATCGAAACAAAAAGGACATTTATATTAACATCAAGAAAAGACAGTAGAAATTTCTAAAGTTTGGACTATTTGATACTCACATGACAGATTGAAGGCAAGAGGGACAGAGGAAAATAACACATTAACGTACCTAGAGAAATGGACGGCGGAACAAGGTTGAAGAAAGATAATAAAAAGACAACATATATTGAGCTATAAAGGATAAGAAATTGTGGAGACCCATGATCACCAACGTCCTGAAGGGACACGCCACGAAGAAGAAGAAGAAGAAGAAGAAGAAGAAGAAGAAGAAGAAGAAGAAGAAGAAGAAGAATGAGCTTGAATAAATGAATGGCAGAACAAGGTTTAGGAAATTGTGGAGACCCATAATAGCTAACGTTCTAAAAGGACACGGCATATAGAAGAAGAATTAATGTACTATGTTGGCTGGATCTAATGGCATTGCTGATATTTGGGAATGATAAAAGTCGCGCATCAACGCGATTTTGAAGACAACAGTATTGCGATAGAGTAAATTCATTAAAACTAATGTTGAGAATAGTGAACATTTTTTTTTACCCTCTCGGCGCCCAGGTATTTATACATGTTTGGGCTGTGGTATTTGGGGGCTGCATCTCAACTCTCCAAATAAGTTATCTGAAAGAAAGCTCATTCTTTGAAATAATTTATCTGGAAGTCAAACATGGGATATTTTCCAACAGGAGTAGATAGGCTCTTCACTCGTCCGCTCCATATCCACCCGGTTTCTTTTGAACAGGAATAGAATCCCGTCCTTTGTTTCTTATTCAGAAAGGTGTTACCGATTCCTTCACTTTTCTCATAGTGGTGCAGTCATAAATCTCTTGTGAAATGCGTGGATGTTGTTAACGTCTCTTCTGTGGGTACCGGGTTGGCAGTTTTCTGGTTGAAGTTTCCGAATGTCACACTTTGTGTCAGTATTCGCCAATTCCTTTCTGCACATGTTACATTAGATGACAGACTGCTACAACTATTCTAGGTCTTTTCCT